TTTTTTGCCGAGCTACGGATGGCAACTTATTTTGTGAAGCGTCGGAGCGGAAAACGAGGTCCCGTGTATCAGCTGCGTGAGAAGACGCAGATTTTTTTTTGCATTTTTCGCTGAAACTGCGCAACTTCTCTGCTAATTTTTTTGGACAGGGGAAGCTTCTCCTGAGTTGTCTTTTAGCATTTCCAGTCGACTCCATTATCCCGGTTCATTCGGCGAATAAATGGCGGGTCGGGAATGAGGGTGTCTAAATTTGGGATCTAGAAGCCTTTGTCAAGAAAGGCATTGTTTACAGAAGACCCATTCTTTTCATCTCCACTGCTGAAAAGTCAACCCAGACAGTAATTTTCAAGTTGATTGGAATTTTATTGATTGAAATGAAATGGTTTGAAAATAATGTATTTCTCTTCAAAGCGTGTTTTCGTCCATTCCTATCGAATGAGCAAAATTAAAAAAAATAAATGCTGTCAAGCACGAGGAAATATTAAAATAACTAAACGGAGATGCTCTGCAACTATTATATGTTTTTAGAGTCTAAAAAAATCGTTCTTGTGTAAAAAAATCTCTCGATCGGGGTTGGTTATATAAGGAAATTTGATTATCATGATAATTTTCCGTGTCATAAAGGAATTGAACAATCTATAAGAAGAATAATTTTTATTTTTTCAGCAAGCTTATTCCGAATTTCACACTTCCATTTTATCCTTCCTTAAAATCCTTCAATTTTAAAACTGGAAAATGTGCTGAATTTTTATATTGACTGTTTTTTATAATTTTCTTCAATCTGAAGCCAGATGGGATTATTGCCTGCCTTCGCTAAAAAAAAAATTCAGATGTTTTCTCAAGAAGTAATTCTAAACTGTTTGTATTTTCATTTGACAGAGCAAAGAAATCCAAATTACGGATATTTTCCAAGTCTATTTAAAACGTTTTGAAACTCGCTGTGAAATTTTTGGTCACTCTCAAATGACACCAGGGCACTAAATTATTTTCGGCATTTCGTTCAAATAAAAATTAATTGAGAAATAAACGAAAGGAAAATCCAATTTCCTGTCGCGGTCCTTTCCCGAAGTGCCAAAGTTTTTTTTTCACCGGAAGCCCCTTTTCCCCAATAATTCGGCCCAGGTCACTGGGTTCTCCCGCGCCCCTATACCTTCTTGTTTTTTGTTTCATTGTTGTCCCCCCCCCCCCCAAAATGAGTCCGTCTCCGCCATGCGTTGTCGTTGGCAACCCTGGGGTTCTCGGTCCCGCGGGGCAAGGATCCTCGCATAACACACATGTGGGATCCTCGTGATCGCGGAGTTTGTGTATGAGTGTGTGTGTGTGTGTCGCTCTTCGCGCGCACAGGGATCCTTCTTCTTCTTCTCCTCTCTTCTTTTTTGCTCCCTGGAGCTTCTGCTGAAATTCCGAGCCTTGTTCAACAGGTCCGACCCAGGCCTTGTCAGTGTCGCTTGCTAACGTGGTCGCGAAGGGTTCCATTTTTTTCCCTTATACTCCTCTAGATACTTTCACTTTTCTTTGGGAAACATGAAAAAAAAAGATTTCCTGTGAAATCTGAAATCCCTGCATGGTGGAGCCATATTTGCAAGTCAAAATATTTCATCAGTGCGACCGAATTTTTTCAAAAAAATGGAAGTGGAATAATGGCGCAGATATTATCGAGGATTTATTCCTGAAATATTTTTCGCACCCCGTGCCGAATGAAAATTCAAATAGGAGTTTTACAAATCCATAAAAAAGAACGAATGTGTCTCCGCAAAATTTCTGGATTCTCAATCTTCGTGTGCAAAATAAAAAGAAGCCTAGTGTTGATCGAAATCAATAAAAATTCGGCGGTCGCTTGAAATTCCAAGTATCTTCGTTGGATTAAATTTTATTCCCGCGGAAGGTGAAATTAGGATTATTAAAACTACAAAAATTCATTTGTGAAATAATTTTATGTGAGGCTGAATGAAGCTTTCAAAAATATAATTTTAGGCAAAACACAGGCAATAATCGATGATGAATATGAACTCGATTTTGTTTCTGGGCTTGATTTTCCTCTTGAAATAACTGGGAAAATCCGGAGAAAGCCGAAAATTTTGAACATTTGAAACTCACTTCAAATACTGTAATTGGTTCTTTATTATCTCTAGTGGATCAAACCTGTTAGTGAAGATACTGATAAGATTTTCAAATTCGTTCAGATGGCTTCTATTGAGATGTTTTGCATTCTCATTTGAATTATAAACTGAGGGCATTTCAAAGATTCTTGGATTACGATACATCGTTTTTTCTTTCTTCTAAAATTAAGCACTTGCAATTTAAGCCACTGTCGGCATTTATATGATGAAATCTATTCTTTTTCTTAGAAAGGAAAAAAATTAGTTTAAAGAAATGAATTTTTCTTAGCTTCTTATACTGTTCGCTGAATTTTAATTTTTTTTGCATTTTGTTTTCGAACACGAACGAGTCCCCATGCAAACTTCGAACGGAGTATTTGATTTTATTACTATTATTATTATTATTATTCGGAAAACGCATATTATTCTCACTCTGTGTGCTTCTCTGGGTTCACTTCAGAATTGAGGGGCATTATCGACAACGGGGCAATTTTTACAAATCGAGGAATTAAGCAAATGGGTGTTAGTGAAACGTGCGATGATTAGTGGGATTAAATGGGACGCCGCGGGGGTGCAGCGAGAGGCGGACTTGGCGCACTTGCGCCGCGCCGCCGGTGAAATCTACTTTGCCGCCTGCTTCAAAAACAACTTCCGGACGCCGGAAGTGGCGGTGCCCGTGGGCAATGGGTTGATGCAAGACAATAACAACTACCAGATTGCGGATTCGTCGTCGTTTTCGAATTTCGGCTATTATCCGCCGATTCGCAACAGACGCAAACAAACCCCAAGGAAATTGCTCAAGGTTAAAAAAAATCCGTTTTTATTTAAACTTTTGGGAGAAAAGTTGGCGAGAATTTTGTGAATTTTGCTTTACGCTTGATTGCAAAGGATCCGAACTGTTAATTTTGGATTTTTTTTTCGATTTGGTGGGGAAAATTTGCCGATATTTTATTTGTCAGGTTGGGGCTGAATTTCTCAAAATCTGTTTTACCGCACCTTAAGTTATGAAGCTTTTCCAGGAAAGGAAAATGTTCGACCAAATGAAAATTAAAATAAATCCAGAATTTTTCGTAAAGGAAACGGTGATCATCTTCTGTCCACTGCTCAAATTTGTGTTTATCCAGCTTAAAACGGATGAGAAAATACATTTTATACTCCGAGAAATAGATATTCTCATGACACAATTTTAAGTTTGTTTTACTCTTAAGTATTAATTTGATTGTTACCAAATGCGAATGATCAAAAATATTCTCAAAGCCGATGTTTCAGATCATTCAATAACTATGTTTTTATTTTGGAAATTTTTGCGTGCTGCTGAATTTGAAGACTCATTTCAAAGTTTTTGACTTCGAAGATATTCCGTACAAAACGAACAAAGCCTTTTTGTTATTAAAATGAATCGGATAATTTTAACTCGAAAGTTTGAAGACCGATCAAAATTCATATCGAAGTACTTTACTGACAAATTTTTGAAGATTACCTCATTTTTTCCTAAAGTTTAAAAATGACAGGCGTAACGCTGATTATCTGAAAAAGGGAAACGATTTTTATATTGTAAAATGTCAACGCTGAAAGAATGAAAAATAGGTTATGAATTTTCTGATTTTTTTCATGCGGTTCCAATTACAAATTTGACTGAAAATTCGATACGTGTCGCAAGGAATTCCGGGTTCTGATAGATGAAAGTCTATGAAAAATTTCTGAAACAGTTGCAAATTCTTTTCTTCAAGTATCTATACTGTATATAGAAATCAAAATACAGTACATCCAGAAAATACACGGAAGAAATAGTTGCTCCATTTTTTCGTAACGCTCAGTTTACATAAATTAAAGATAAATGAAAGCGATTATTTTATGCGTTAGAGCTGTCAAAACCCCGCATTTTAATCTGCACAAAATGCAAAAATTTCGGAAACTTAAGTCAACAATGTAACACGTGAAATGATAAGAACACCTTGGAATCCGAGCTGCTAATCTAGACTTGATAAAGTGCCTTCTATTCTAGAGGATTTCTTTCAAACATTTTTAATAGACCCGCTTATTCCCAGTTATTCATATCTGAACTCTACACTTTTTGAAAATTGCATTCCATTCAACATGCATGAAAACCGATGTGATAATATTCTACCTTTGCATGCTATTTTACTTGACTATGAAACAGCTGATTATCGGAATTATTTTCCAGAGCTTCATTATTCGTTGAAGTTGCGCTTTCAATTTAATTTCTGGATTGCAATAATATTTTGAATTTTCTTTCTATTTTCAGGTTGGAGACGAAGACGTGCTGGACATCGGTCGACTTCAAGAAGAAGATTTTGAGAAAATCACCGTTTTCCATGTTCCGGATTCTGCAACAAAGGATTGTCAGCCAGAGCGAGCTGAGTCAAGTTTGCCTAGAAACTTGGTCCTTCGACCTTCCCATACTTTGGCAGATGTGAGTTAATTCATAAATGAAGAAATGAATTTATTTTGAAGAAACTATTGATGCAGGAGTTACATTTTTTTTCTCCTGGTAGTTTTTTGGGGGCATCTGAAAATTTCCAATGCGAGAATTCTTGAACACGTCAATGCCAGAGAAGGATTGCAAAAATAATTAAATTCTGTGTTTCAGGAACAGAAGAAGAGATTATATAATTTCCTTCTCGGATGTTACAAAACTTCATGGTAAAATGTTCGAAGCTCTCCGGAGACGAAATGGCGACTTCCAGAAAATCTTTTGCCATTCCGACTCATGTCGATATTAACAAAGAAAAATTCCTCAACGCTAAAATTTGACCAATTCTAGCAGAATTTGAAATGAATTTCTGGCTTTGTGAACGAGGAGAAAATTCCCGAAATCTTTCAAATGTCAAAGGTCTTTTTTTTGTGGCACTTCCAAGTTTCAGCAAATTAACATTTCGCTGAAATTTCGAGTTAAAATAAAATTTAGATTTTCAGTACAACTGAAGTAAAAGCGATTTATATGCAATATTCATTTTTGATTTTGTTTCATTTTGGACGTAAAGCAGGTACTGGGAGTTTGGAGCACGGATTACATTCCGAAAGGAACCCGGTTCGGGCCTTTGGTCGGCGAAATTCACGCCAGGAACAATGTGCCAAAAACGGCGAAACAAAGAAAACGAATTGTACTTCTACGTGGATGGTTTCGATGTGACGAAGGCGAATTGGATGCGATATGTGAACCCGGCATATTCCTCAGAAGCTCAGAATCTCATCGCCTGTCAGTACAAGGTAAATAAAACAAATTTTAATAGAAATGTCTTTTGCATTTGACGTTTTAAAACGCGTATTATTTCAAAAATTCAGCCTGAAAAAAATCCATGTACTTCACTTGGTTTTATTTCCTATTGACCGGTTTAAAACCAAGTTTTTTTCTTTCCGAAATATTTCCACTTGAGATAATAACAAGCGCTGTCCAAAAATCGAATTCCTGCTTTCGATGTAGAAAGTGAAAATTCGAAGGAAATGCTTTAATGCACTGAGCAAATCCATTTTGTTCCAAGAACGTTATAATATTTTAAATTTTTGCGATAAATTGTTCTGAAAATTTCTCACGTGTTCCAATTAAGTTTTGGAAAAGTTTCATAAATGAATAATTTTCCTCATGGTTGTGTTTTCGAACATGCTTTGATGAAAGTGTAGTAAACCGCGTTTTCTGTTTCTGCAGATGAATATTTATTTCTACACCATCAAGCCAATTTACCCGAACCAAGAATTGCTGGTTTGGTATTGCAAAGAATTTGCAGAACGGCTGAATTACCCTTTGACCGGGGAACAAATGCTTCAACGAATCCGTAAGTTTCCACCAAGTTGGCATTGATAAAATTAACGAAAATTATATTTAAGCATATGGTTGTCAGAATCAGAACTTCAGAAGAATAGCATATGCTTGTCAGAAGATACTAGAATTAGAGTATTTCAATTTCCAGACCCTCCTGGAGAGTTGAACAGGTGTCACTAATGTATTTATGATCGAAAATTGCTAAACTCAATAAAAATTAACCCCATATACTGAGGAGGACATAAAGTGGGCGACACCTATGTTTCAGCAAAGAGAATCCCTCAGCTGGGGACATCTCGTGTTGGGGGAGGAAAATAGCCATTGTATTTTCACATTCTTACGGATTTAATCATTACAGGTCAGCAGGTGGCCCAACAGCCCAGACTGCCGTCTCCACAGCCGTCAATGCCGTCTCCAGCCCCGTCTCCGTCATCGACAACCACTAGTAGCCCAGCGACGTCGACGGTGAGCGACGACAAGCGGACGCTTTTGTTACGAATGGCGGTAGATGCAGCCATTAGCCGCAAGAGGTCACACCCTACTGAAGGTTCCGTTCGCTCCGACGAAGGCTACCATTCCACTGGATTCCACGTGCGTTTGCCCTGGAAATTAGTTTTTGAATGTTTGAAACATACTTAAAAAAGGTTTCTGTTGTTCAGGAGGATGAAGGAGCATCGCCTGTCAAGCATAAAATAGAGCCTGAATCTGATGCGGAATCCGAGACGGATTACGTGTTGGACTTCAGTCGGAAACCGGCAGCGAAACCCGTGAAAACTGAAGCTGCTGAAGAAGTGGATGAATCGCATTTGATGAGGAACGAGTTCCGGAAGGTGAAGATCAAAATGCCAAGGACGTACAATGCTTACAAGCAGCCCAGTAGTAGCAGTAACAACAACAGTGTTGCCATTGCTGATGAACCAGAGCCAGTGAAACCTGTGTTCCCTGAACCTGCCCCTGTTCAAGAGGACATCAAACCGAGTCCACATCATTCGACCCATGATGAAAGGTACAGTACTAATATTTAAAAATTAATTTTACAGAAATCCCAAATCAAATTTTAATAATTCTTGGCTGCAGAATAAGGTATTAGGACGCCCTTGATTATAAATATTTAAAAATTTCGAAGTGAAAAAATCTCGTGTGAAAGCTATAAATTTCTCAAAAAATTATTGTTTGTGCATAATAGAAAAATTCCGTCTGAGTTTAAAAAAAGCATTTTTTCTCGGAGGAGAAAAAATAAATGCATTTTCGCTGGTACTGTGAATAAAAAATGCTCAATTAATTTTTTAAATCTTTGTTTAGCATGATGGACCTTTTTCTGCGCAAAGCATTGAAAAAAAATATCACAATGCATTTGACAAAAAATTCATTGTCGTACTTAACATAACTTGACAAATCTTGGTGTTGAATTTGTTGTTTGAAAAGACCAGTTTTTTTTCAAGGCTTGCTTTCAAACCTTTTTTCATGCATTTTGAATATTTTTTACCATTAGATATTTTCTTCATGCAGTAGAAAAATCTGCGCGTAAATTAAAAGCATTTGCATTCATAAAAATGACTTTATTTAGTCAACATGTCGTTCTAATGTAGCTGGTAATTCAATTTTTTTTCAAGGGTACTGAGACTTGAATTTTCCGTCAACTTTTTATTTGAGATTGTCTGGCTTTTTTCTTTCTAACAAGAAATTCAATAAATGTACTGAGCATGCCTTGAAAAATTGTGGTTTTGAAATTGTTGCTTCGAAAGGCTAGTTTTTGAGGCTTGGTGTCAAACTTTATCTCATGCCTTTGGAGGATATTTTTAAAAATCAGATATTTCCCTTGTAGAAGAATCTGTTCTTAATTCAACAGCATTTGCAATTTTAAAAATGGCTGTCTTAACAATAATAAATCATTTTAATGCAGGTTATTCAAAAACTTTTGTTTTTCAATGTCACTGTGACTTGCATTTGCTCAGTAAACTTTATTTTTCTGAGATTGTCTGGCTTGTTTTCTTTCGATTATTGAATATAATTCGAAATTTTGTTTTTATTTTGAATGTCGCAGAGGATGGATACCAGAGGAATTCCGGAGGGGCCACCAGGTGTCGCTAAGAATCAGCCCAGACAGCTCAGACCCCCGAAGCTGGTCTCCATCTTACCCACCATACCCATACGAACAACCGAGGTTCCCTCAACAACACCAAGCTCAACAACCCCAACAACCACAACACCAGCCTCAACAGCACAATGTGCCAGATTCACCCCCGAGAAACCTGGCCCCGGGCACTCCATCAAACACCTGGGCTCTGAGTCCAGGTGCATCATCCGCAGTTTCCAGTTCGGAGTTGCCGGGTTCAGCGTCACAAGGGTCAGGGGCCACCAACAGGGGCTACAAGGCACTTCCGTACCCACTCAAGAAGAAGGACGGGAAAATGCATTACGAGTGCATCGTGTGTTGTAAGACGTTTGGGCAGTTGTCGAATCTCAAGGTGCACCTGAGGACGCATAGTGGTGAGCGGCCGTTCAAGTGCGACATCTGTACAAAGACTTTCACTCAGCTGGCCCATTTGCAGAAGCACAACTTGGTCCACACCGGTGAGCCATACTTTTTCAACCCTACTTTTTTTCTATCCTTTTTTACGAACTGTGAAAAGCATACAAGAAGGGTGCACATTTATTCAAAAGGAAAATTGACAATTTATTAAAAAGTTTTGTCAATGTTTCCAAAAGAATTTAGCACCCAAACTTTCTTTTTTAAACCCTCCTTTCTTTTTCTCTCTCTTTTTTTTACAAACCGTGAAAAGCATACAAGAAGGGTGCACATTTATTCAAAATTAAAATTGATAATTTATTCAAAAGTTTTGTCAATGTTTCCAAAAAAAATTTAGCACCCAAACTTTCTTTTTTAAACCCTGCTTTCTTTTTCTCTCTTTGTTTACAAACTGTGAAAAGCATACAAGGGTGCACATTTATTCAAAAGTAAAATTGATAATTTATTAAAAAGTTTTGTCAATGTTTCCAAAAAAAAGTTAGCACCCAAACTTTCTGTGTCAAAACATAATCCTTTAGCATTGTGGTATTTAAAAGAAGCATTAGTTCATTGTATGAGAAGAATTTATTCGCAGTATTTGTACCATTTATGCAGGGATAATATAATGATAACATAATAATGATGAGTTTTCGTTATTATGTGCAAAACAGGTGAAAAGCCTCATCAGTGCGACATCTGCAAGAAGCGGTTCAGCAGCACCAGTAACCTGAAGACCCACCTGCGACTCCACTCTGGGCAAAAGCCGTATGCGTGCGACCTCTGTCCGGCCAAGTTCACACAGTTTGTCCACCTCAAGCTCCACAAGCGTCTGCACACCAACGAACGCCCTTACATTTGCACCCAGTGCAACAAAAAGTACATATCTGCTTCTGGGCTCAGGACTCATTGGAAAACTACCAGTTGTAAGCCAGTCACAGCTGAGGATGAGTTTGTGATGCAGCGTTCTCCACCTGCGAGTGGCATCCCTGGTTTCTATCCTCCTGGATACGATTACAGCAATGGTGAGTTTCTTCTTACTCTGACGCCAAATAATAAGAAAGATTTGCATTGAAGTAAGCATGGAAAAATAACTCCCAACAAATAGAAAATTACAGTATTTCAAAAATTGAAATCATTATAGTGTGGGAGGCAGAATAAACATAAATCCGCCAAAAGCAATGTGTGAAAAAAATATTCATATCCTCTACACATAAAAGTTTTATGCTCACAAATGTGTATGCTTTATGCATACACTGTGCTTCTTCAAAAAATTGGGTACATGTATATATGTACTGCATTCACATATTTCTGTTATACACACACTTTAAAATGCACAAATATTTTTGTCAGATGAGAATTAATTGGAATTCTGTGCATAAATGGAAGAGAAGGATGAAATATCAAAGAAAGGGATGCTTAATGATGATTATATAGCAGATATTTTCCTTTTTTCTTGTTCAACTTGCATTTGAGTTTTTTTGAAGCAAAAACTAATTGAAACATGAACTTATAGGTTGAACAAAAAAATTGAGACATTTATGGGGCTTGGGTCTGCATTTCTTCTTCAATTACAACGTGTTTGCTGTTTTCTGTATTGTAAAAAATTGTTGATATGTTATATTTTCAAAAAATATATAAAGAAACCAACTTACATCTTATTTATATTTTATTTTTCCAGGGAAATATGAAAGCTGCGACAATGGAACTGATGGAGAAGGCAGTTTGTTGTCAAGTTCACCGCCTGCGTCCAACCATGGAATGATGGCTGCTTCTCCTGAAAGTGTTGCTCATTTCGAACCTGAACAGGTAATTCAATTTATTTAAAATACTGTGAAGTATTATGAATACATACTATTACTCAACCATTATTTATATCATGCTTTTTCTTGTTGTGGAGTCATTTGAGGTTTTGATTAATAATTATCAGAATTTGTTATTGAAAAAGGTGAAGTATACTTGAAATCATGCTGAGTTGAGAAAGAAAAAAAACACTAGTGATGCTCAAAGAACCGCTGTAATTGATCTGAAGCATAGTTCAACTTTCTTATTTTGGAGCGACACCTATGTGTGGAGTCAGCCATGAATGCGCCAAACTTCTTTCCTTGGTGCTGATTAAAAAGAAAATGGTTTTTAGTGGTTATTTCATTGTTCTTGATGGGAATTTGGAGTGAGGTTTTCCGTAATTAATGTTATTTTTGCTTTTATTTTCTTTTTTTGCAGCAGCCCGTGAAACCGCAGCAGCACCATCAGTTCCAAGACTCCGTTGGCAACTCTCGCCATGGCCATCGTCAGCATTTCTCCTCCCCTGGAATCGTTTCTCCACCTCCTCAACCACCACTTTCTCACCCGCCTTTACCATCGGCTCCACCGCCTCAACCATCGCATCACCTGCACCACTTGCACCATCACCACCTCCACCACCACCACGGGCACCATCACCACCATCATCATCATCCTCAGCCACATTACTCTGCGGACGTGCCGCCACCTGACGGCAGGACGCGGAACTCACCCAGTCCTCATCACGCACTTGCTGGCATCCCTATGGACATCGTGGACCTCAAACCCCCTTCCCCGGAATTGCAAGCTGGCAACCCTGCTCGTCCTAGAATCATAGAGTGCACGTAAGATGGCGACTCTAGTTTCTGGTGTTGAGAATGGCGGGAAAATGGAAAAAAAAGAACTTATCCGGTCTCTGGAAAACGAAATTTTTGATCGTTGATGTGGTGTAAACTTTGCTTCTTTTGGCTTTTTTTCCATCTGAATCTTTGTGTCGTGTTTTTTCGACGTTTTTGGGTGAGGCCAACTGGTGGCAGAAAAATTCTCAGTATAATGCTTCATAAATTAATAGCCGAGACAACTTTCTCTTTCATTTCTTTCAAAGAAGAGGTCTGTTTGTAAGTCAATAATTTATTTTTGTAAGACGCGAGATCGTTCTTACGAAATTCTTCAACTTTTTTGGAATAATTGGACAAAGGAACTCATGCATTTCTCGAGGCATTTTCGAAGAAATCAACTGTGTTGGGACTTGTTGGAAGGAGTCCGAAATCTCGCTGGAATGCTTCGAACGAAGAGACCAAAGTGCTCTTTCGATTATTTTAACATCTAGAAAAAATTTGAAACGATTCTTTAGGGATGAGTTGCCTTCGAAGTAATGAAGGAATTTCACAGTAATTCCTTTTAACACGAGGGTTGGTTCATAAGTTTCATTTTGTTTTATGCTTCCCATTCGAAAAAAGTGATACAGTATTTTATCGATTTTCAAGCAAAATTTTTTGCACAACCAATAAGTTGAAGTGGAGAGCTTTTAAAATGCCTTAAGGAATCAAGGCTAATATCTGATGGGTTTGAGGCCGTCCAAGTAATAAAAACGTTTCAAATTCCTGTAAATTCCCCCGATGATTATGTCTCATATTTTAAAAAACCATTTGACAAATTTAGATCCTGGCGATTTCAGTCCTATTACTAATACAGTATTTCAGTTTGCGGGGTTGTAATTGAGAAAAATCCTTAGCGAATGAATTGAGGCTCTCTTTTAAGTTCCAGTTATTTATCCTTCGAAAACCTTTTCAAACTTGAGAACCACCCCTCTCCATTTTTACAAAGCTTTCGATATCGATAATTTCCGTATTTTTTTGTGTCTGAACAATATTATCTTGGATCTGCTTGAAGAAGAATTCTGCGAATCACCAGTTGACCCCACTTTAAATGTGTATACAAAAAAAAAGAAGAAAAACGTTGTTTCGTTCCCTGTTTCGGTGTGAGGTGGTCAACGGATCTGTGATTTTGTAAGCGAAAAAAAAGGAAAATGTTCTTGCGTGAAACACCTTGGATTCCAATATTTGCCCTCCAAAAAAAAAAGTAGCTGGTGCTTTATTTTTCCTCCTATTTTTTCTCAAACCGGCGGAAAAAGGGGGAAAAGCCTAAATTGTGATGTTTCATCCTCGGCATGGTGTTGAATATAAATCAATGGTTGTTTTCTTTTGGACAAAAGAGAAGCAGAAAGTTTTTTTTGTTTTTGTTATTTTAGTTGCAGTGCAGAGAGAAAAAAGCTTTCGGTTGTTGAATTTTTTTTCTCCCCGGAAGGAGGGAAAACGGAAGTATTAACTCGGTGTCGTCCAGCAGCTCTTTTGCACACTTTCGCTGTGCCAAAAAAAAATTTTGTTTTCCTTCTGCAAAAAATGGCCCTGTGATTTTTTGAGTCCCCGAAAAGAAAGTGTCCCTACCCCCCTTTTTAATTTATGAACTGTCTTTCGAGGCAGAGAATCTCTGTGTGTTTTATGCTTTCGGTGTACACCTTCGTGTTGAAATTGAAATTTTGCCACTGATGTTCTGGGTGTTAGTCGCGAGGATTTGTTGATGGGATGTTGAGAAAAAAAAAAGGAGAAGGAGCGGAGGAAAATTTGGTGGAAAATGAAATACAAACGGAGCTGTGTTTCGGAAAAAAAATCGTTTATATCTTCTCAATTACGTGCCATTCCGGACAGTGCCAAAAAACAGGTTCTAACAAAAGCACATTTTTTTCCTGACTAGAGGATCGAAGGCTCGAGGTCAACGGCAACAAAACACCGATAAACAGGCCAAAACAATTCGATGCCTGTGGGGATGAACCTTCCCTGTATAGAAAAGATGGCGTCTTCTTAACCGGAGCTGAAAAGAAAAAGAGAGCGACATCTAGTCATGACAAACGCAGGTGAGGGACTAGAGGACCAATATGGCCGCCAACTGACCTGCTGCTGCTGGAGCCGTGGCCGTGCTTGTGCCCATGCTTGTGGCCATGCTTGTGTCCGTGTTTGTGGCCGTGCTTGTGCCCGTGCTTGTGGCCGTGTTTGTGGCCGTGCTTGTGGCCGTGTTTGTGTCCGTGTTTGTGGCCGTGCTTGTGGCCATGCTTGTGGCCGTGCTTGTGTTTGTGGACGTGCGAATGCTTGTGTTTGTGGGAATGGGAATGCTTGTGCTTGTGGTACAATACTCTGCAAAACAAAAATGAACATTATTTGCACTTGAGATTCAATTGCGTTGCATGCATGGAAAATGTGCCTTTTGAGTTTGACACATTGTCCCTTTAAATTCTGTGACATACTTCTACGAAAAAGGTCCCCACTATATGATATTTTTTTCTAAAAAGACACATTTAATAAGTCATGGGCATATAATGTATCGAACATTTCCGTTTATAAAATTAAGCATCAGGGGCTTAAGACAATTTTGAACTTGTAAAATTTAACTCTTGTCTGAAAGTGAGCAGAATAACCTCAAATGAAATTACAATGCAGTAATAGGAAATTCGGTGTATTTTAATATCTGGCAATTTGATCTGTAAATTTTGTTAGATTTGCACAGAAAAATAATCATGGGGATTGTCAATCTTTATTCATATGGCTAATTATATGCTGTGCATAATACTTGTGCTAAATTTTTCAAGAAATTCATCTTTTTTTAGACCTTCAGTTGAACACTTTCAGCAAAACTATCTCTGGGACTCATAAAAACAATATGGAATGTCTTTTTTGAGAATCCGAAATCAAAATAATTGTGCATAGCTTGACCTCACTATATAGAGGATTTAAAAATATTAATCAATCATAGATGATACTTTGTCCGATTTTGCCTTGTTTCACGTGGGATAGAAGCTGTTGAGGAATGCAGGCTATATTTTTTCCAAGTGGATCAGATTAAAATATAAATATCACTAATAAGTAACACCTGTTTCAGCATAGTTCGCATAAAGTGGAAGCTCCGGAGTAGAATAGATACACTATTACCGTCACAGCTGAAAAAAATTTAGTATGGAGTATTTTTTTGAAAATGCATTCAACAGCAGTTGCACACGGATTTTTACATGTTGGAATTTTATATTACTTTTTGTAATGGAATTGGCCTCATTAGAGCTCAATCTGACGAATTTCAATGCTCCTCATTCAATCACAGATGATTCCAAAGCTAATTTTGGCCGATTATTCTTGCAGAGGCATAAATTAATTTTATTGCACAATCAGGCCTTGAGCAGTCAACCTAATCGGGTTTAGCAGCCAAATTATTGCCTAAGGCATTAACTATCCAAGACATATTTTCCCGTAGTAACCTACGGGGATTTAAGTGATTGATTCAGTGCAAAATGATATCAAAGTCTTGACAAATTCAAAAGTTGGCAAGAATGCAAAGAAAACATTAGGGATTAATGATTTAGCTGAAAATTCATAACAGAAGGACATTTTTAAGTATGAAAGAAGTTGAAGCTTATTAAAAATATGAATTCCTCTTGAAATTCTAAATTGGGGATTCACTGTCTTGAAGAGTTTAACTTCTCATAAATTTTCAAATATTTCTTTCAAACATTGTTTTTCCTGCTAGTTGAGGTTAGTTTATTGCACATTGAAGCAAAATCACAATTAATAGGAGCTTTTTTTTGTAAAAAGTTTGCTGCTTAATTATAGGGTTTTTGTCCCTCAATACGCTATGTACATTTTATGTCTTTTTTAGCAGAAAGTTTAACTTTTGATAATGGAAAAATGCGTTTGCATTTTAGTTATCTCAGGATAAACCAGGTTTACACTGACTTTCCGCCACTACTTGAGCTGCTGCCAGGATATGCCAATGGACTGGCCTCAGGGTCAGCCAGAGCCTCAGGTTCAGGATCAGCCAAAGCAAAAGCCCAGCACATCATGACTGTGCCCAGCATCAACAGTGCAATTGTCAGCTGCAAAATTGAATAAAAAATTAAATTTTCAGCATGCCAAAATCCTATGAACTTTGCATGGATCGAAAGCAAAATTTCTCTCCAAAATTACTGCTGATGTAATCAGCACTGTGATCAGGGTTTCCAACATTTTTCTGAATTCTTCCTGTTGATGAAATTAGTTCACTAAATTTGAATACTGTATTGCATAATGCATTTGTGAATTTCTGAATATTCCTTTTAACTTTACAAATTGTAAATGCTGGGGAACCTCAGGAATTATATCCTCAGGGCATTCACAAAATGTCTACTCTCACCAGGAAGTATCGTTTATTCTTCCATGCGACTTTTATGGATTTGAATTTTCAATCAGATGTACCAACTGATCTCATCTTTATGTGAGGCTTTTGTATTTTTTCCTCCAATTTTTTTTTCTTCGGATAATTCATTTTCTCGCGGATTTTCTGGGAGCAAGTCGGCTGCCAATATGCATCCACACCACAGCCACACTTCCACACTCACACAGGGACTCACTCACTCACCTTCATGTTTTCTCCCCGAAAGAAGGATATAAAAATCGAGAGAAAAAAACACACGAAAAGTGAAGTTGTCTTGAAAACTTGATGTGGCTGCTGAATCAACTGCTGAGCGACTGACGGCTTTTCCCAGCCACAACCGCCGACTTTATACTGATGAGCTCTAGGAAGAAAAACGCGATTTTGTGTTTCGAAAGCCACGCGTGGAAAAAGAACGCCATGCGAAACGCTGATGATAATAACGCCTCCCCATCAATGATTTTTTTTTGTATTAGAGAAAAAAGAAACGAAAATGGGACAGAAACATATTCAGCCACAAAAAAAAGAAGAGAAGTGATGTTACGAAAGTTGGTCGGGAACCGCGGATTTCCTCTGTGTGGTTCGTCGGGAGCATCGGCGAAACGCATCTTTTTTTCCTACAGATTGAAATCGACAAGGATTAATTCAGATGCAGAAAATTAGTGTTCTTCTTCTTTTTCTTGAAAAAAGGGAACTAACGGAAAGTGAATCTGAAGATCTCTATTGCGCAAATTAGCATGAATATTCCTGTTTTTCAAATTCGGGGCTCGATTTGTATTTTCGAATCAAATTCGCACATGATAAATCAGAAAAATAATTCAAAACCGTCAAATCAAGAAAAAAATGAGGTATCACGAAGAAGCGACAGTGAAATGCATAAAAGCTCTTCGTGAACTGCTAAAAATTTACTGCGAAGAACTCCATCTTGGTATTTGAATTTAAAGAATTCTTCAGTGAAAAGATGATGATTTTTATTTGATTTTTGAAGTACTTTGCAACTGAAGCGTACTGCCAGAAACTCAGTTTCAGACATAAATATTAGTCTTCAAAATAATCAAAACTATCTACCTGCTAGTGTGAAATGAATTACGACTTGAAATTCAAAATATTTCGACCAAAAAAAAACGCTTCTTCTACATTTTTGTTTTGTCCAATCGAAGATTTCTCTTTGATACGGTCTCAATTCATTCCTGATTTGAATTAAACTGCAATTTCAAAAAAAAAACGTTATGTATAGTCCTGCCTTTGCTAAACTGGGAACGAATCCTGAAAAAGCACGTGGAATCAATGCAATGAAATACATTTAAAATACCACATTGTTTCGAAGAATTTTCGAACTGCAAAAAAAAAATTCCACAGACAACGTTTTTCTTACCCACAAATTTTAAAACTTTAATCTAGGGTTGGATTTACGCTCTTCTGTCTCTCAAAGCTCAATACAAAACACAAGTTCAAAGTCCGACTTGAATGAGTTGGCAATAAATTTCGACGATAAAGCCAGCAATTTTTTGCAACTATAGTGTATTAATGGAAACTACTGACAAAAATCTATGTGATCAATGGCAAATTTGAATGCCGGCATTTTTTGTCTTCTTGTGCAACGTCATGCAATGATTCATTTTGACTCTTGGAATATTTTATTTTAACCGAAGGTCGAAATTGGGGTTCGAATTTGAGTTTGCGCCTGATGATGGAAGCAAACATTTTTTAGAAGATTTTTTCTGTTCCTCGAAATACATTTTTTTGAAACTTCCGGGAAGATGAATCGAATTTCACTTTAGAATTTGGTTACTAAACTGAATGCGAGCAATTGAAGGCCTGTTCTCTTGTCTTCCAACAGTAATTCACAAGAAATTGATGAAATCAACCTCTAATGAACAACATAATTCGTAAGCTGTACAATTTTCGAAAATGCGCTCAAAGATTTCATATACGTGGTCTCATGAAATGAATGCCTTTATCATTCAGAAAAAACAAATCCAATCACTGCAACATTTTAGGTCTCGCAAATAGTAAACGGTTCCCTGAATAGTCCATGAAACAGGGAATTAAATTAGAGAAAATTCGAAAGTCAATGAAAACTTTTGCTCGATAAATTCACTGTTCTCCTCTCGAAGTCATCTTTTTGAATTAATCTCGTATATAGACAGCGTCAAAATTTTGAAATTCATCCTCCGATTTTCAGCAAATTGTTGAATTTTACATCGAAAAGCAATTTGAAATCAAAAGCACTTGAGCAATCCGTTTTCCAGGCACATTATACAAGAGGAAATTTATTTTTTCGTGTGTGTTTCAATGTCGAAACTCTTGCGTGAATGACGCAAGCGTTTTCTTCCTTGTCTTGGTCTTCCTTCGGACGAAGTATTTTGCGGGATGATTTCCGTGGTCGATCTGACTTCCGGTGGCCTGCGGGTGAAAAAATTCTTTTTCGTTTCTTC